TGAGAGGCGCTTACCACTGTGGAAGTGCACTGACCACCAGGGGGTAGCGACTGGTCAGAGCGTCTGCTCCCTGGTGGTCAGTGCACATCATAATGACTGGTCGAACGGTTGATGATTGTTTGCCTAGCACAGTGGTTCTCAACCTTCCTAATGCCGTGACCCTTTAATACAGTTCCTCATGTTGGGGTGACCCCCAATTTCATGTTACAAACTGAACATAATTAAAGCATAGTGATTAATCACAAAAACAATATGTAATTATATATGTTTTTTCCGATGGTCTTAGGCGACCCCTGTGAAAGGGTCATTCAATTCCCAAAGGGGTCACGACCCATAGGTTGAGAACCGCTGGCCTAGCATATCTGTATGAAACCTGTGAGGAAGCTCTCTATGTTTGGATAGGGGAAAATTTTCCAGGATATATTTTTATGTAAAAAAAGGAGGCAAAGAAAAGTACACTACCTTTTATGTAGAAAAGGGATGAAATAAGAGTATATATTCATACTTGGTTTTCTTTCCATAAACAGACCCAGGAAATATATACAAGAAATATTAAAGTGGTTACAGATAGACAGGAACAGCATGGAACATGGGAGGATGGGGAATGCGATGGAACAGATTTTTCATTGTATCTCTTAAAATTTGCTTTTTGAACCATGTAAATATATTGTTGTTATTATGTTTTAATTCAAGGAATTCATAGTTGCCTAAAGACCCTATTATTCACTTGATAGTCAAGCCTTGTGTTTTGAAGAGTCTGTCATCAACCTTGTTATTTTTCTCTTATCAAGTTACCTTTTCTAATATCCTCATTATCAGTGGCTTTGTATCGAACAGTTCTCTAACATGACATTCACAGACTTCATGGGAATCTGCCTCTTTAGCAATATTTATATAGATTCACTTTGCAATTTATTGCATTGTATTGTCAGATGTTTTCAATATCTAGTATTGCTGCACTGGGAATGCTAAAGCATGTCCTCAGGTGGGCCTTCCTTTTGTAAGGAGTCAGTTAAGTAGTGAACATTTTAATTTTATATTCATACAGTTACGGATATTTTAATTTCCCTGTGTGACTGTAGACATTTGTAAAATATCTATGCAAAGATGTTAAATATACTTGGATCTATTTCAGTATTCATTATTCTGTCTTTTCTTGTAAAAGTCCTTAAATTATTACACCTTAAGTCCCATAGTCATATTGTACTTTAATATGTCTCTAGTAGTTATGTCTCTATAATTAATTATTCTTCTATTTACAACATATTTCTATTCCTATCAAATTGATTTTTTTTTCCCAGTCAGGTTTACTGAGTTATACTTTACTGACAGAAAAATTCCTTTTTAGGTATTAAGTTTCATGAGTTTTGAGAAATAAAAACAGTTGTATAATCACCGTACCAATTAAGACATACACCCTAAAAACTTCTTTCATGCCCTTTTGTATTCAGTTCCCTAGCCCCATCATGAGTCCCTACTGATCTGATTTCTGTCTCCATAGTTTTCCTTTTCAGAAAGTTATATAAGTGCAATTATGTAATAGTATATACAGTATTTATTATTTTAGTATTTCCAATAAACATAAACCCTATAACAATGTTTTATAAAATGGCTTCTCGGGTGGAGTAACTCAAGAAATATCACATAGATATGAATCTTCAGATTCAGATTTGCATTGGTCATTGGCTTTACTTGGTAATTGGGTTTCATTATAAACATTATAATATAATTTATTTTGATTTCATGTTATTTTATGTCTAATTTGAAAATCAACTTTCATAAATATTAATTTGTACTTTTTTCTTGTTATCCTTTTTTAGCAGGATAATTAAAGTGGTTAGATAAAATAATTTACTAACCTTTTCCTATATTTTCATGTCTGAGAAAATATAAATTGTGTAATAAGTTACTTTCTTGGGTGTTTAGTATGATTTGGTGCACACACATGAAACATAACACTTGGGAGCAAGAGTAGTAACTGATTTTCTTTAGCATGTATTACATTTTTTTCATACCTTCATTGCAGTGTAAACTTTAAAAAATATTTTCTACTATTTAAGTATTTTTCAAAAGTAAACATAATTGGTGAGGTTAAGTGTAAAATGGTATTGATGAGATTGATTACCTACAGAAAGCCTTGATTTTTTTAATATTAGCCCCTCTAATGCTCAAGTTTCTAGTGTTGAATCCAAATCCCTGGAAAATCTGGCACACTGAAGTAAGTGGGCCACCAAGAGGAGTGGCTACTAGACAATATGTAAATATGAAGAGATGTATACACCCAGAACAATCAGAGTTCCAGCTTGACAGACTACAGAGAGCAGGGAAAAGGTGATACTCACATCCGAATTAAAGCGAAGCTGACAGACATTACAAGAAATAACTTGTTTCTTCTTTGGGGGAATGGACACTCCAAACGTGTGGTTAATAACTGCTTTTTGCACAGGATCCATCTGAAGAGCAAATGATAAAATAATCATTTTATAACTTCAAAGGATAGAAAATAGTGTGAGCAAGTAAAAATAGCTGTATTATTCCTTAAGGCTTTATCTTCATTCCCAAACAAGGATAATAAAGACTCCCATTCAGTAGTAATGTACTGTTTCCAGGACTTGAAAAAATCAAAAATAATAAACTGGTTTGAAATCATAGCACAAATCAGAGGAGAATCCAACATCCCAAGAAATCATAGTCATACATGGAGTCTTGAAAAACCTTAAAAGAATCATAAAACAAGGATATTTAAATTCCAAAGGTCAAAGTGAAAATTAACTTGTTAATATTTTCCCTATATAAGGTGATAATATTTATGAAAGTCTGAAATGGCCTCAATGACAATTATTACAGATATATTTCAGTTTCTTAAATTTTGATTTATGGCAAAGTCATAAGTTACAGGCTTGTCTCACAGCCCAGAAAATGTTATCTTAATTTTAAAATAATTTATTACTTTTCATATACTATAGATAACATTCATTCTACTGGAAATGCCCATAACAGATAGGTTACTGTGCAACCCTTGTTTACGTGTCGAGCAAGTTTTTGACTTATAACGTGTGACTTTCCTCCCTTTGGTTTACATATATCCTACATATTCATAAAAACATACAGTGATGAAAGTACTCAACCACGGCAAAAGTATGGCACAAAGCTACAAAAACACTTGGAGAAAGAAAGAACACTATTTGCAGAGCCTATAAAAAGAGAGACACAGCGGTGATTCTCTTGTGTACTCCAGATAATAATCTCCAGCATTAACATTGGACAACTGGCAGTTCAAACAACAATGCAGATGATAAACAAAGCAGTACTGATAAACAGATGTAACACAAACTGACACACCCTCATCTAGGAAATCTCCTGAGGTTAGAGCTTAGGGTTGGATTAGTTGATGATATTTGGTAGAGAGGAGAAACTAAGACTATCCCTGGTCAGGAGTATAAATCAACTAAATGTAAAATTAGCAACTAAAAAACTTAAGTACATTAGAAAGAAGGATGGATTACAGAATTATTGAATAGTAAAGTAGCCCATTTTTGCTACAAGTTTAAGTGAGATACTAACTGCATTGCTACTATAAAAACAGTTATGTGGTTTGGGACACTTAAAATTTCAAAGAGGGGAGTTTTCTGGAGTAATAGAACGATTCTGTAACCTGATTGCAGTGGTGGTCACACAATTTATACATGTGTTCACATTCATAAAATTATACACACTCCCCCAAAGTCCATTTTATGTATAATAATTTACAAAGTAAAAGAAAAAAAGTTTTATAGGATCATGCTTAACTACTAATTGTAAAATAAAATTACTGGGAAATCTGGGGATTTGATATGTTCAAGGCAAAAATTGATTATATTAAATTTTATTTAATGAGAATAAAAAAACAAGTATCCATGGGCATTAAAATCTCAATGTTCACTTTCTTAGTTTACACAGTTAAGTGCACACAAGTGCACACAGTTAAGTTTCATCTATCCATTTTTAAAACATGAAACTATACTTTCTGATTGTTACCAGAAATAGAAAATTAGTTTGGACAGGAAAATAAAATATCATACCTATGTTGATAGAATAAAAAACTACACTGTTTTGCAAAGTTAAACAAATGAAAGCATTTTATTGAGATACTTTCTGTTCTCAGGCTCTAAAAACTACATCTGGTGATGCGTAAACTGCATGGAATAAAACTATATGAATATTCTCAAACACTAGTTTTCACATGCCACTTTCATTATTTTTGCCATATCCATGTACTATTTTGTTATTATTCAAGTTTTTTCTTTAAGTCAAAGTAAAATAGACTTTTAAAAAAACACAGTAATAATTATGAAACCATAGTTTTAATGTACATGCTTTCTTATTACTCAACATTAAAAATGAAAACTTTCATCATATGAAATAAATACACATATCCCAGTTGTTCCCATACCACAGTATAGAAATACAGACAAAAGATACAGCTACAAAAATCTAGCCCTAAGTTTTTAGTAAACCAAGATATTTTCTGACAGGTCCGACATGACCCTTGAAAATAAACGTCCCCGTTACATTTTTGAAATTATCAACCTACATAATTTAAAAAATAATTTCTGGCACAAATTTATCCTACTCCAATCTCATGTTTGTGCATCAGCCTAAAATTTTCCATGTATATTCCCAAGGTAGAAAGCTCTCTGTCCTGACAGGTGAATTGTGGCTGAGAACTCCAAATACAAAGGCATGCCCGGCCGACATGGCTCAGTGGTGGGGCATTGAACTATGAACCAGGAGGTCCCGGTTCAATTCCCTGTCAGGGCACATGCCCAGGTTGCAAGCTCAATCCCTGGTGTGGGGCATGCAGGAGGCAGCTGATCAATAATTTTCTCTCATCACTAATAGATATAGATATAGGTATAGATATAGATATCTAGATATTCATATATCTAGATATCTATATCTATCTATTTATCTATCTCCCTTCCTCTCTGAAATCAATATATATATACATATACATATACGCACATTTATATGGTATACTTTAAAACAGAATATATTCAATTATAAAGGCAGATGTATTCCCAGCCACCTACTCCCTGAAAAGCCAACTAAGGCAGTTCCTTTAAGAAACTCTAACCAGAATTAGCTTCTGTACTTTATATACATAATCCTACTTGTACCTATAAAATTAATTAAATAAACAGCCTTTTTACCCTGACCCTCATCACCTGTCATAAAAATTTCATCCTCCATATTTGTCACTTGGAAGAGATAGTTTCCACTTTCCACTTGATTCTCTATTTTCTTATAGGTAGTATTTCAGGAAAAGATCCACTTGTTTTTTCCCTGCCTAAATCTCTTTTATCTTTCTCTGCTACTTATCACAGAATTCTATACTTATATTTCTTATTCATCAATTGAGGAACATGATTAAATTGAAAGAAAACTTGCAGTGGGAGAGAAAAGAATGCTCCATTTGCCAAATCATCTGGTACCTTGAAACTGAAACTGTTTCGATTATATTTTGTGTATTTTCCATCTGATGTCTTAATCACAAATACCTGAGAAATTTCAGTGAGGTCCAGACTTGTCAAGAACATAGAAAATGTTTTTAGATCTCTTTCTCTCTCCTTTTTAAAAGTTATAAAGTCATAAAAATCTGATCATTTTCTTATTCTTACAATATTCTAAAAGTTAGATGAAAATAACTATGATGTAAACTTATACTAACTTAAATTTTCCTCCCATTAATCCAATGTAAGTTCTCATAATGAGATATGTGTAACTAAATCAATGGTAATAATTTTATTCAATCACCAATTTTTAGGAGAAATAAAACAATCAAGATGAATTAAAACATTCTCATAAATCCTAAAACGTGATACATGTAAGTGATTCAATTTAGTGTCATCAAACTATATGTATATATCATAATAATTTCATATATAGAATACTTGGGAAAATTATTGGAGGCATAGCAATTATATGACAAACTTATTTTTAAAGATTCAACTGACATTCAAAAGACATTTGATTATTAAAAACTAGAGGCCCGATGCACGAAATTTGTGCAAGGGCCTTGGCGCCCGCCCCTGCCCAGCAGCCATGGCCAGGGGCCACTACCACCTCTGCCTCGGCCCCTGCCCACTGTGGCTTTGTCCGGAAGGAAGGACGTCCAGAAGGACGTCTGGTCTAATTAGCATATTACATTTTTATTATTATAGATGAGCAAGTGTCTTCTAACATCTTTATTAAAATGTTTATTTCACTTTTAAATGAATAAATTCCTCCTTAAATACTTAAATTAGCTCATGTTAGTTCACATTGCACAAGAAAGTGGTCTGTGGACTGAAAAGATTGAGATTAATTGATAAATAATCCTGAAAACACTTTTTTTTAAAAAAAGGAAAAACCCGTGTCTACCATATAGTTCTAGTTATTAGTATTCCTTACCTGACACAATTTAATGGTCCTAAATAAGCCCATTCTTGGGGGATGTGCAGGAGGCAGCTGATCGATGTTTCTCTCTCATCGATGTTTCTAACTCTCTATCTCTATCTCTCTCCTTTCCTCTCTGTAAAAAATCAATAAAATATATTAAAAAAAATAAGCCCATTCTTTTCTAAAAGGCTAAAAGTTAGAAGTAATCTGCACTTTTGAGACTAGAAACACATTTATATAAAAATTTTAAAAATCTATTTTCTTTGTTAATCTCTGCTTTAAAAGCCTGAAATGCTTACTAACTAAAAAGCAGCAAGAGTTAACATTTGCCCCTTTGTCTAATGAAAATCATGTAGAAATGAAAGCAAAACCTATTAGTGCAATTAACTGGTAGGTAATAAAAATGAAAAATGGGGTTGTGGCTGTTACCAAGTATCAAGGAGATAACTGGAGGCTATGTAAGGAAAATTTAACTATTACAAAAATGAAACTAATGAAGCTGACCTTATTATACTATCTATTCTATTTTCAGTCTCAAAATAAGAACAGATAGGTATCTTTGGTATATTCACCAGATTATGGAACCATAAATGTGTGTGATTTTTTTTAAAAGATCACGACTTTCACTGAGTGTACCAAGAAAGTAATGTATGTCTACACAGTACAAGCCATCATATACAAATATGCAGCTCCAATAAAACCCAGCCGCAGGGAAGAGAAACACTGCAGCACTTCACTAAGGGCAGGGTGAGCACTGTGGGAGGGGAGAGAAACAGGGAGGGGCTCCACGACCAAAGGGCTTCCTACTGGGTGATATCTAGATTCTAGACAGCATTGCCAGAGGAAGCTTTAGGCATCAAAAACAGAATTACAAGCTTTTCCACGACCTCAATATTTGTCCATAGGCTTGAAGTTTAAATTGTATTGTAAGAGTCTTAAGATTTCACTAGCCATCCAGTGGGACTGGGTCTGGGAGTAAATTGAACACTGCCCAACTAAAAAGCAAAAATGTTTATATTACTTTTAAATGAAC